TCTGGCCCAGCATCAGCTCCAAGTCCATCCCACACCCGTGGGCCTGCGAGCCCCAGGCAGAACAACAAAAACAAGAAGAAAAGGGATTTGTGAACATTCTTGGAATTAAAAAGAAGAAAGATCTAAGTTTGAGAGGCTCAGGGTACCAAGGAAAGGAGTCAGGGAAAAAAAACAACCCTCCCAATGCACACACACACACATGCATGCACACAACAGACTGAAGTTTAATGTGAGCTATTTATGCATCTAGAAGAAGAGCTTCCAAATGGCCAGGGCTGCAAGGAGGAGCCCTGGTGGCAGAGTGGTTACACATTGGGCTGCTAACCTCAAGGTCAGCAGTTCCAAACCACCAGTCACTCCAAGGGAGAGAGACGAGACTTCCTTCTCCTGTAACGAGTCACAGCCCGGGGAACCCACAGGGACAGTCCCTACCCTGCCTTATGACCTGATGTCAGTGAGAACTACAGGTGGAAAGTGAGCCCCTGGGCCGTCCCCGATCCCCACTATGTGGACACCACCCCCTCAGAAGAATGCACTTCAGAGGACAGCACTGGGGCTACAGCTTGGGGAGAGGGGGGCATCGGATTAGAGCACACAGGAGAAACAAAAAGGGATGGAGAGGGAGGGGAGGACATCGTGGCCTCCCAAGTCCCGAGAACGATGTTCCTGCTCAGAGCAGACACTGCACAGAGAGGATCATAGGGCCAGCCCCACCACGAGACACAGTGTCCCTCACTGAACCATAGCACTGCAGGGGACAACACTGAGGCACAGTGCTGGAATAGTGCACAACCTGACCCCATCGTGCTGGGGTGAAGCACTAGGGGCATGCAACAGAGCAGCAAGGGGAGCAAAGCGATGAAATCTCTGGGGAATACCAAAAATTAGACTTTGGAGACCGAGTGTGGCACCCCATCAGACCCAACTGGAAAACACTCGTAAAGGCCAACAAACAGACCTTGAACTATGTATAGGCTTTTCCACTTTTGTCAGTGGCTTTCTTCTTGTTGTTGTTATTTTGTTTGGGGTTGTTTGGGTTATTGTTTTGCTGGCTTTGACTGCCTTTGTTGTTTTATTTGGCTTTGCCTTATTTTTTTCACTTATTGATGTATCTGCATATCTAGATAAGGTAGGCAGGATAAATAATTAGGAGATGAAAAGAACAGGACCAGTGGTTCCAGGGGGATATGGGAGAAGGGGAGGTGGGAGAAAGAAAGGGGACGGGTACCAACCCAGGGATAAGGGAACAACAAGTGAACTAAAATCAATGGAAAGAAGGGCGTAGGATGGCTAGTGGGACTTAATCAAGGACAAGGCAGCAGCAAGGAATTATTAAACCCAAATGAAGGCCGAACATGATGGTGGGACAACAGGGAAGCAAAAGGAAATGGAGGAAAGAACCAGGAGGCAAAGGGCATTTATAGAGGGCTAAATACAGGCATGTCCATATGTAAATACATACACAGTGAGAGGGGAATAGAACTATGTACTCATATCTATATGTTCGGAATTAAGGTTGCAGATGGACATTGGGCCACCACTCAAGTACTCCCTCAACACAGGAACACTGCATTCTAACAATCCAGCATTCTGTGATGCTCACCTTCCTGGATCACTGAAGACAAAGGGGTGCATAAGCAAATGTGGCAAAGAAAGCTGATGGTGCCCGGCTATCAAAAGATATAGCATCTGGGATCTTAAAGGCTT